TTTTTTTTTTTTTTTTTCCAATTTTTCACAATTGATTACAAGCCTTTGTAGAACTAACTTGGGCCAAAATTGTGAGTTATTGAAAAATGGATAAGAAATGGCACAAATAAGACAAAAAAAATTAACTTTATATAATTTAATTTTTTTTTTTTTTTAAATCATTCGAGGACTTCAAATATATTATTATCAAAACAAAAATATTCATGTACCAACTGCAGACCCAAGTTCTCATTATTTTCCTCACATAAATGTCACACAATACATGTTAATTAGACACCAATTTTCATTGATAACAATTCTCTAGCATAACAATTATTATAGTATAGTACTACATCGTATCGTGAGATATTTATATAGAGTTACAATAGATAAATAAGGCATTGTAACAAGAGAACTTTAATATGAAAAAACACAAGAAAAAAAAAAACTAATTAATAAATAACTTCACTTACAAAGATATTTATTTAGTTAATAATAGTTAACTAGTCCAGCAACCCTCTTCTTTATTTCATCAGGATTAGCACCAACAACTTTATCCACCACATCTCCATCCTTCATCAGCACAAAAGTGGGCATCGCCTTAACCTCCATCTTTGTTGCCACCTCCTAAATAACAATCAAATAATTAATCTTACTCGCTAGCTCTTCATTTAATATTATAAATAAATAGGAACCTCTAATATATATTTATTATACATGGAACTATATATTATACAGGTACATAAATAAAATGATATAATAAAACCTTAATCTCGTCAACATCCACCACCAGAAACATGATATTCGGGTGAGCCGAGGCCAATTCTTGAAAAACTGGTCCCATGGCTACTGATGGCATGCACCAAGAAGCCGTAAAGTGTACCACCACCTGCAATTTTACACCACCACCACAACTGAATTCATTATATGTTGTTTCGATTTTGTACGACTTTTATACAGTTTTGCTATGGAGCCATCGAATGGCTCGGCTTATGGAGTCGTCAACAGTTATTCACAAACAGTGTATCGACACATCAGAAATATTATGGAGCCCTCGGATGGTTCCTTTACGAAGCCGTCCATAACTTTATATATTGACACGTGTCTTAAAAACTTACAGGGCAGCCTCGATTTTGAGCTTGTGACATGAGCAAAACCCATGTTGCCTCTGAATCTACTTTGGCAACTGTAGACTGAGTTGCTTGCAGGTGCCCAGCCATAACTTACTAAGATTTTGTTTAAAGATGCTAAGAAATAATAAATATATAATATATTTTCTTCTTTAATTGGTGTCTTGGAATGATCAAGTGTTATCACATGATACTTATATATGTATATATATAGCCAATTTCTTGTGCAAAATTAATGATCAAATGGATTGGTATAATAAATATAGATATGGATAAGTATATTATATCCCAATTTTTTGTTGTGCACAATTAATGATCAATTGGATTGTAACAAAAGTAGGGTCCTCTTTGAAAAACACAGGTACCCACCCATTTTTTTATTATCATAAAATTGATCAATCCAAAACTAGTGCCAGTTATAAAATATCTCGACAGGTGGTGAGAGAGAATATAGATGGTGTACAAGTTCCATGTTCCACGTTTCTATTATTGTTAGTGATGTCGAGAAAAATAAGCATAGGGTGGACATAAGAATGTCTGCGTAATTATCATCATTATTCTTTGGCATTATCCAAATAAATCCCAAAAAGAAACAAGAATAGTGTGGACATAGGATTGTATGACGGGAAAATTTGAAAACTAGTCCTACAACTATCAAGGTTTTTTACTTAATTTTGGTCGAATAGAACGGTGTTTCCCAAAACTTATCCATTAACTTTTTAAATTCTATCATAAGTAGGATAATTGTGGTCCCAGATGCCTTTGGCCGGCCCGGAGCTACCGACGTTTCTTCAAATTAGCACACCTGGCCGATCAATTAACGACGTGGCCGATGACATGGCCACAAAATCCACCGTGACTGATGACGAGGCACAGAGGGGCGGAAAACATATAAAAATTGGGGAAATGTCCCAAAATTGATCGATCGGGCTTCTCATTTTTTCTTCTCGCGTGAACAATAGAACACTAGTTCCCGAATTCGTCTCTTGAATTTCGCACACGTTGAAAATCTAGCAAATAAGATAATATCAAACCATTGAAGACGAACCTGTTGAAGGCTTTCAGAAATGCGTTTAAAGAGACAAAAAATGCACATAAATTTGCCTCCTCCGATGTATCGTGAGTTTTTTCTTTTATTTTATTATTTTATCGTAAAATCGAATCTTGGCATGTTATATGGTCTGTATTTCAAAGTAATTGGGGTGTGGTGTTTTTTTCATGTTGTGTTTGAATGAAATATATTTAATGCTCACAGAGAGGACCACATGTTTGTGAAAGTTTAGACATGTTTATTTCTTTATTGTTGTGTTTATTTGTAGTTACACTTATTTTTTTTTTCTTGTGTTTTGTTTATAATATTTTAGATCTGATTCAGATAGTTTCTCTTTAGTTGTGCATTGGGGTAGGAAGTTTATTAATGCTCCTATAACAAAATATGAAGGGGGGCAGAGGTTTATATGTGATTATACTTCCCAAGCTGAAATGAAGTTTGCATTTTCGAATATTTGGTGTGAACAAGCAGGTGTTGTTGGGGGTAAGTGGTATTACATTTATGATGAAGATGGGTTTAAGTTATTGGTTAGTGAAGCTGACTTGCAAAATTGTGCACTTCAAGCTGTTAAAAGCAGAGAGTTGATTATATATGTTGATGTGGAAGTTGAAACTCATGTTGTACCCAATCCTAATCCACAAAATAAAAACTTAGGTAGTGTGTGGGTACCAGTTGAGGATGTCTACAAAACAGTTAGGGAATTTGTGGGGGTTAATGACTGTGAGTCTGACTCTAATTCATTACATGATTCTGACTATAATATGAGTAATGAAGTTGGTGAAGATGATGAAATATGGTCAGAATATATTGATGTGAGTAATGTTGATGATGTGGTCCATGGTAGTAATGTTGATGTGTCTGAGAGTAATATTCATGTGCAAAAAAGAAGTGTAGATGTGAGTAATATTAATGTTGCAATGTTGCCGATAGTGTTTCTGAGGATGATAATGTAGTCCATGAAGTGCTTCACTTTGATGAGAGAAGAGTGTCTGATGATGAATGTGAGTCTAGTGATCATGTGTTCAACCCTGCAATGATTTTTAAACCAACATTTGAGTTAGGCATGGTGTTTGCTACTAAAGCATAATTTAAAAAGGCATTACAATCTCATGCTATTAGAAGTAAAAGAAGCTTACACTTTATAAAAAATCACAACAGAAGAGTGTATGCATAGTGTAAAGCTGATGGATGTAAGTGGAGAATGAATGCACTGAAGAAAACAGATGAAGCATCTTACAAGCTTTCAACCTATGTACCTACTCATACTTGTTCTCCTGAATTTAATGTGAAGAATGTGAAAAGTAAATGGCTTAGTGAAAAGTACATTGGGAATTTTGAGGTTGATCCAAAGAGAAGCACAAAAGGGTAGATGGCAGAGGTGATAAAAAAACTGGGGGTAGATGTCTCTAAACAACAGGCATACAGGGCAAAGAAGAGGGCATTTGCAGTGATAGAGGGTGATCTATCTGTGCAATACACTAAGCTATGGGATTATGCAGAAGAGGTTAGACAAACAAACTCTGGAAGCACAGTGATCTTAGACACTGAGTCTGAAAATGGAGAACTTAAGTTTGCAAATTCTATTGTTGTTTTTGTGCTTTGAAAGAAGGTTTCA